TGATAATTTAACAAGTTAATGGGTAGTTTTATCAATATATTTAAAAATCAAAATGAAATTAACACTCTAAGTTCTGGAAGGTAAAATGATTCCCAGCATATTGATAGATGAGAATAATGAGCGATAAATTGTCCCTGAATGATCATTTATAGCTATAAATAATAATATTGTTGATTTGAGGCCAATTTATAGTCAAATAATGCAAGAACGCATTCTCAAATATCAATAAACTTTAAATTCTAATATACATTTAACACTAGAAGTGAAAGATATTTTAAATATCCAAAATAAATCAAATAAAATGAATCATGAAGTCTCTGTTAACAAAACTGTCCTTCAAAATAAAAGCCTTTTTCAGACCAACTCACCAGACTGAAGACGTTTGTCATCCAGTTTTTGGTAGAAAGAAAAAAATAAACCATGCAAATGGAAACCATTGAGCTCGTTTTTTATTTATCACGCGATTAATTGACTTATTGCTTACAGCGGCAGGCTGAACAACAGTATCATTTTGGAAATCCAGAAAAGTCCATTAAACATAATGCGTAAGAAATCAAGGGAGCAAATATCGCCGGGGCTGCTTCCCGTCTAATCCTCTTTTAATTAGGGTGAGAAAAGACGTGGGACCTCTGCTGGATTAGTCACAGCACATGGACAGAGCACCATGCTGGGAACCAGTGGACGGCACTGGTGACCGCTGCAGCCAGTTAGGTGCAGGAACAAATCCTCTGGAGTGTGAAGCCATACGCTACCTGGAGGTTCAGCCGCCCTGCGTCTCAAATCAAAGCCCGTTTTGGTCTCTGGTGAGCTGGGGGGGATAAGTTACAGCATATGATTTGCTCATTTTCAATCTTTTCACTCCTGCTTGATGGGGGCGACTGTGTCTGCTGTCGCACTCGCTCCCTATTATCCACCCTCTTTGCTAATCCTGCAGGGTAGTTTGTCCTCCTCGTTATCTTTCCTCATCCCTAACTATCTGTCTTCATGCTCTGCCTGCTTCGTCCGCCCTTTTCTAGCCCAATAATAGAGGTTCGGCCTCACGGTGATGTGGACCCGGGCGAACAAAAGAATCAAATCACAGCTGGAGCTTCTGCACACGTCTTCACATGGAGCCTCCTCAGGTTGGTTCAGTCGTTAGAGAAGAAAGTAGCAGGCAGCCATTTTAACTGCTACTTTATCTGTGTCCCACATGAAGACCACAGGAGTTGTTGTTTTGGTCTGAAATTAAAGAAGGCAACCAATCTGTAGAGTTTTCTTGCTTTCACGTTTTCCCAAAGACTCCAACTAAATCCTACTGCCATGTTTTGAAGTAAATGTCGACCCAATTCCTGACTGGACGATGGTAGACGGGCTCAAGGTGACACCTGCAGCGTAACTAAGAGAAAACATCATGTCTGAATTTCTAAAAAAAACATATAAAGTTGATAAATTTGTTGCTGTTTGAAAAAGAGTCACTACACTTAAAAAAACAAACAAACTCATACTTTTCTAACGCAAAAAATCTTAGCAGACGTGAAATAAGACAAAACTAACTTACATGTAAATTTTAAGCAAGAAAGCTGCCAAAAAAATGACTTATTTTAAGTAAAAAATTCCTTAATATTGATGAAAAACCTTGTTGTTTTTCATCAACAAGGTTTTGTTGATAGAACATATGGCTGTGCCGTTACCTAGCAACCCCAACCGAGCCCAGCCCGTTGCCTAGCAACCCAGTTCTAGTTCATCACAGATTATTTCGGTTGTAACATCCTGCCAATGGATGTAAAACCTTTCATCAATATTAAGGAATTTTTTACCCAACAAGCCTCATTTTCTTGCTGAAAAGTAATTTTTTTGTAAAATGTTTGTGTTTTTTACAGTGCATTCTACGTGAAATAATCTGGAGGTGAATCTGATATTTTTTTTTAAATCCGTATTAAGAAATTACTGGCTCACAACAAGCTCTATTTCTGACTGAAAAGTGACTTTATGACAGTTTTGTCTGATTTCAAATGAACTAAGATATTTGCACCAGAATGAAGACAAAAATACTCGTTAAAATTTAGTTTTTTTTTTTTTTTTGCAGTGTAGAATGGTTTGAAGTTGTGATTTTGGAAATTCAGAGCAGAGTTTACACTCCATATCCATAAACCTGCTGCTGTTTTTGGGGTTTATTGGTGCAGGCTCCCCAGATTATGAGAACTAATCCAAAAAGTTTTAAAGAAACAATAAAATCCATTGAAAACACACCAATATTTTTTTCTTCGGGCGTTATTCTTCTGTTCTGCATGGTTTCAGTGCCAGTGGACGGGCTTTTTTGGACCTGGCGTTTCCCCGGTTCGGGGCTGGGGACACTGGGTGGCAGTGTGTCCCCCCGTACAGGAGCAGCCATGTTCCCCATCTGCTCCCGGCTCCGTCGGTGTGAACTCAGATCTGCTGGGGTTTAAGAGACGGTGAAACATCCTGCGTCACACGGAGCCAAGTTTGTTCCTCACAAGGAGAAAAATCTTCATATCCATCTAGAAATACGGCCGAAACCAAAAAAATACTTTAATAAATGGTAAACAAACTCATGCAACAGCTTTATTCCGACTCTTTTTATATTGTTTTTCTTTAAACTCTTTTTATTTTTCTTATCTTGCAGAATAAACAACATGTTAAATGTGTAAAAATCTTTAAAACGGATGATCGGAGCTTCAGGAGCCATCATTTCCACATTTCACAGAGAACATTTTCTTATTATTTGATATTTAGGTATGCAGTGCATGACCAAATTTTATTCTATAGATGAGTTTATAATTAATTAATCCAGAACATGTGCAGTAGTATTTATTTAATTCATGTTAATATCATGGAAAAGTTCATTTATTAATTAATCTGAGTGAAAGATTAATTACAAACTGTCTTATTCTGTTAATTATGTTGATTTTCTGATGGAAACACAACTTTATTTTAGAATTTTACAAATTAACAAATAAAATATGTGCAATACATGAAAGTGAATGTCTAACACCTGCTTAAAGGTTGTTTTTTTATTTATCAATAAAAACTATTACACATGCAAGTTATCTAGAATTTATTCTTGAAATAATGTAAATTATTTCATTTTAATAAAAAAAAATCACATCTGTGTAGTTTATAGTTTAATCCGAAGAGGAATTTTGTAGCTTTGAAAATAAATGAATTGTTTATTGTTCAATAAAATAACATTGTTCACATCATAAATAAGCTACTTGTTGTGTTTGCAAATGAACCAGGATTAACTCAGAGTTACATCCTGATTGTAAATTTCGTGGAGACGGAACAACATCTCATTTAATCCGGTTCAATCTCAGCAGGGATTACAAACATGGCGGAGCAAGTGGGGTCAATTATACAACCCGCTCCACGCCTCCTTCACTTCCTCTCGCTCCTGTTTTGGTTTTGGTTCATTTCAACAAACTCGAATGCAACTCGACAGAAAATCAATTCGCGTTATGCACGTAATGCGGGATTATCCCGCCAATAATAACGCAGGGGAAGACGCGGGGGGGTCAGGGAGGTCACGGCGCCGATAAACCGAGAACTTGTAAATCCTGTCGGCGTGTTTCCAAACTGCGGCAGTAACAGCGTGAGGTGTTGTTTCCGTGTATTATGGTAATGCAAGAGCTGCAGCAGGCCTCGGTCTGCAGCTTCTCCCCGTTTGTTCGCAGGTTTCCGCGCTTCCTGCCATGTTGGCATTCCGCTCCACTCCTCCCGTTAAAAAGCAGCAGCCTCTCCTTCTACCTCTAAACTTAGAGGATGCAGCAGCAGCAGCAGCAGCGCCCACACAGCTGTTCTCCCCTGAGCTGGCGTACATAAAACATAAAAGGCGAGCCTATATGAAAAATGCACAGAGCGCTGGATTATAATGTGGTCGAAGCCCCGCTGCTGTCGGGCTGCAGAGGGATGAGGAGAGAGGCCTCCCCTGGATGGATCCCTTCTTCTACAGGATTCGTTTGACTGGATGCCTGTGCAAACATTTACTCGCCGTGCTCAATCCGTGGATCACGTTACAGAGATTGATTGTTCACTCGCCTCTCACCCTCCACTGTTTCATTGGCCGATATGAAATCAAACAGGATTCATGTTTTCCAACCAAGGGTAGAGTTGTCACGCACAGAATCAGCGACAGCCAGAGCAAACTCCCCCCTCATTGTTTCATGCATCCCAGCGCCGAGGCGAGTGGAAAACAACTCGGTGTGATTGTTACAGTTTGTGGCTCGTCGTGGCGCGGAGTAATTGCAAAGTTCACAAAAAGAAAGTGAAATTAAACAAGAGGGGGAAACGTGGGGTCTTTCTACAGGAGCCTGCAGACCAATTAGAGCTTGTAGATTTCAAATCACAGGAAATCCAATCAAGTTTTTCAAAATGGTAAACAGCTGGGGAGTAAAACAATTAACATTAATAGCATTTATCCAACCATCCATCCGTTATCTAGGCAGCTTACCTTCAAACATCATAGGACAATATGAGACCAGTTAGCCTAAAAGTAGCCGTTAGCATCACAAATGTCCACAAAACTTTGTCTATATTATGCTAATGTGGAAAAAAACCCACAATTTCACAATTTTGTGTTTCCATTAAATATTAGACAAAGTCACTGCAGGAAGTTAGCAATTGTGCTAAGACATAGTTAGCCATGGCTTTGTGGTTCCATAGCCAGGAACTTTGCATTAGTGCTGAAGCATGGTTAGCCACTCTACAGTTAGCATTATTGCTGAAGCATGGTTAGCCACTCTACAGTTAGCATTAGTGCTCAGTCATAGACCGCTGCTAGAAAGTTAGCTTAAGTGCTTCTTAGCCAAAACAGGAAGTTAGGTTTACTGCTGAGTCATAATTAGCTGCTAAACTTGAGGTGTTGATTAAGGATAAATTGGAAGATTGGATTAAAATGAACTTGGTTTGTGATTACATTATAATTATTTTTAATTGGTGCAACATAAATAAACTGTATTTACTTTAATTTATGTGAATTGGACATTTTCTGTATTAATGTAGCAGAAACAGGTGGAGGAGAGGTAGGACAGCATCACTTTGTGCTCCAAGCAAATAATAAAAGAAAAAACAGTAGACACACTGAAAGACTCGGGTCTAGTAGAAAGATTTTCAGTTCCCCTCACTATCCTCTGCAGGGCAAATCTTAACCCGCTGATCCTGGAGATCAAAATCAACATTAAGGACTTTAATCTTTTCTCCCTTCTCTTTTCCAACCAGTCAAACTGATCCATGACATCGATGTTTTTATCAATAAAATCAGCTGGCAAAGCAAATCATCGCGCAAAAGATGTTGATCTGGTTGTCTGAAGCGCTGAAGTGAAAGTAAAGAGCAGAGCTCAGCCGCTGTGACCCGAGGGATGGAAGGTCAGCGCACGATCTCCTCCCCTGTAACCTGCTTTCAGAATTACCAAACTGCTCCTGGAGAGCAGCCCCCCTTCCTGCCAACACGTTCTCCTCTCCATTTCCCCTCGACGTCTTCCTCGCCGCGTCACTTTCTCTCCCCCTCACCCCCTCACGTCGTTAGCATTTAGATAGTTGAGAGCAGAGGAGCTTGGGTAATAGGCTTTCCCCTCCTCTCCCCTCCATCCCTCTTTGCTCGAATCAGCTGAAGTGAGAGGGATTAAATCAAAAGAACAACAATGATGATGAGAGCAACTGCAAGGCTGAGAAATGTGGAATCAGGGGGTGGCGCAACGCCTGATCGGCTCTGAGCTCATTAACCCGGGCCTTGACAGAACCGATGTTAGAGGTGATTGGAGATTATCACATTTAGGGGATACTTCATCCCCTTATCTCGCCCAGCGTCACCTCCCCTTCCCCGTCTCCCCTCGTGATTCTGTTTCTCTCGATTTCATCCAGGTCAGCTGTCCGCGGTTCGATCCTCCTGGGGAGGGGCGCGCAGATGCCATCAACACCGGCTCCGTGTCCGCTTGATCTCCTAATTCTGCTTCATTTAAACTTCATCAACTGTTCCACTGGACCGGAAGCGGAGAAGAATGAAAACAGCTTGTGTGGAAACAGCTTTTTCTCCCTCGCTCCCTTTTTTGTTGTTCGATCTGGTATGATGCCCCCAAAGCTGCCGCCGCCCCCCCTTCCACTCTCGCAGCCACCAAATTTACCTCAGAACCTGCAATAAAGGCAGGTGTTCATGCACAAACACCTGAAAAACAACAAAATGTACTGTCTCTGCAGGGCCGGCCCAAGCCTTTTTGGGGCCCTGAGCAGATTCTCATTTGGGGCCCCCGCATACCAACATATCAGGACCAGATAGTTTATCATTCCTAAGCTACCTGCTATCGTTAACATAATTTTTTAGTAGCTTACTTCACACTAGGACTTATTATGGCTATTGAGTTTAGCCTCGCAGGAGTGAAAAATATATATTTGTAGAAATGTAGAGGTTTTTAAATGTCAATATTATTTTAACTCTTTGAAAACGACATCAGCTGATAAATACTAAATTTTGTAGTAAAAAAGCTAACAACTTTGATATCTTAATTTTCCCCAGTAAATTTTTCCTTTTTCTCTTTGTTTTAAGTGTAATTTTTAATTAGATTACATTATACGAGTGTTATGATTATTGATTTTAACCTTACAAAAGTAGCAAAGAAGCAAAGCTGCTCTAATTATTTGAAATGCAGAGAGGAAATCTAAATATCTTGGACAGTTTCTGACATCAAATGAAAAATAATTATATTTCTATTTTATCTAAATATTCAGCTCCACTGTTTGGCTGTTGCCAGTGAAGGACTTCGTTTTTGCTGTTGCCGTACAGCATGGTGAAGAAAAGCTTTATATATGTTCCTCCTTTTAAACTAAACCAACATCCAGAGTTCAGTGTCCAGCCGACCGAGGCTTATTAATTCTGTGGTTCTGGACTGCGTCCAGATCCGAGCTAAACTAAACCGTCAATATTTTATATCTGCTCTATTTTCAGAAATAATCAACATACAACACTGGTGAAAAGCTGAGCAGCCAACTGTAAAAAAAAAAAAAACAGAAGAAAATTGAAGCAGAACTGGACCCTGCAACACGTTAACGACCCAAAACATGCAAAGCTGCTATGGACTGAAGGAAAAAGTCCTGAACAGCTTGAAAACACATCCTAGTTGAAATTGTTTGTTTAATTAGTAAAACGAGGTTTACTGAGGGTGAGAATATTTTCATTTTTATATGCTAATTCATTCTTTGTGCTCAGTTTTCTGTATCTTGAAACGACTCTGGTTATGTTGTTAGAATAGGGTTGTTCTTCTCCACTGTCGCCACATGCTTGATCATTATTGCAGCACATTATTGTAAGAGTCGTTAGAGTGGACACAGGATTAAAAATGTGTTTTTCATGATGACCACCATTTTTCAAGATGGTCGCCGTGTCAGAGCCTTTTAAACCAAATGCTGACATAAACATTGGAGTTTGGATGTTTTTGACTTTGGTCATTTTAAAGTCATAATATGCAGCAGGCTGTGGCCTTTGCTGTTTGCAAGTCACACATCAGTTGTCAA